TCCCTAGTTTACTTACTTAGAGGAGATTGTCGGCCCAAGTTGATAGAAGAATCATTGTCAGTAACTATGAATTTTTTATGTCTAAGGAAGAATATGGAAGGGTTCGTGAGATAGAATTTTACGTTTAGGTTGGTCCTCTATCTCCGTCAGTCTTAGCATTGTTAGTTTTTACGTCTAGGTTAGTCCTGTATCTACGTCAAACTTAGAATTTTACGTATAGGTTAGTAACAATGAGTTTTTTACGTCTAGGTTGACTTACCTTAAGAGAGAATATTTTTCTAGGAGGACTAATTTAAGTGAATCTTAGCATATAGAAGGCTTCACGCCCTATCAAATATACCATATGATTCATAACTCAAAAGGGTAAAATATCATTGAGAAACATATGGGTTACGACATTGATCGTAATATAACGATGCCTTTTGATAGCAAACCATCCAGTTAGAGAGCTCTGATTATAATCATTTTTGGGGTGTCATTTGACGACAAAACACTACCACATCCTTACTAACAAAATTATTTGAGTTTGAATTTAGTAGTATATTTGATATGTCATTAGTTCTAATGTTTGCTTAGGCTTGTTAAGGGTATATTACTAAATTCAAATATTAGACTTGTTAAGGGTATATTTGTTGTTTTATGTAGTTTACAGGTGTCGAGCACGTTTCAAAGAGTAAAACATAAAGTGATCGAATTGAGAAGAGCGACATAATTACGCATGCGCCCCTATCATAATTACAGGGGATCCTCTGTTGGATCGGTGTAATCACGCAGGATTTTGGTGTAACTTTGCCTAGCTCGTCGTAGCAATGCTAGTTTGGGCATGTCCTGTGGATTTGAGCTGGCGGGCAAGATGACCTACAGACGTTATCACAACTTATGTGAGCAACTATGACCTACGTAGCTTACCACTTGTAGAATTTTGACTCATGCCTCTACAGCATGTGGATGTCATCATCGCTCCTTGCTACGATTTATTTGATTAACTATAATTTATGCGGCCCACAACTCACATTGGCCCCACTACCCGGTCTCTATGGTCTACTAATGTTATCGCTACTCACCACTATAGCCTATGCTACCCACTACGACCTACATGACTCACAACTCATACAATTTCATACGTCTTTCGTGGCTAGCCGACGCTTCTGAAACAATCATATCAGATCTACATGACCAACTATTACCTTGACTTTCGGCTATGACCTATTAGGGTTATGAATTTAGCTCGAAGATTGATTCAAATTTTGGCTCGATTTGAGATCAGATCAAAATAAACGAGCCGAACTGCAAGCCAAATTTTTTGTTCAAAATTTTTTTGAGCCAATTTTGAATCGACCCCATCTTAGCTCGAAATTGAATCGTTAACAACATATGATTGTAAATTTAGTGAATATAACAAAAAGTTCTTTAGTTGCTTGAAATTAATTAGAATTTTTGCGCGGATCAAGATCAAATTGACATAAGCGAGCCGAGCTACGAGCCAAAATTTTTAATCAAATTTTTTTCGAGCCGATTTTGAGCCTACCCTAGCTCGGCTCAAAATCGGATTGTTAATGACCCTACAACCCATACAATAAGCTTAATCCACGACTACCGTCTACAACACTTACGACTGACTACTGCCTCCATAGTAATTAATTACCTTGCAACTTGTTATCACCAGGAACTACATTCATTACAACCAGACGACAACAATTATAAATGAGCCACTCTTGTACATTTACAATGATTATCTTTATAACTTTATTTTCTCTAATTTAAGAGATGAGTGAATATGTGTACTTAACATTCAAAGAAAATTAGTTCAACTGGGCTAGAGCCAGTGATTTTTTCCTATTTCCAGAATTTTTCACATAAAAATCGAGATTTCTCACCTTATTGTGGGCAAGAGTCTCGTACAATGCTAGAATGCTAAAAAATTAGCCTAGTGCCACCGATTTTCCGACACACACCAATAAAAACATAAGCAAATTTTTCATCCCTGATGAATCTCAAACGAAGTTCGATTCCACCAAGAATAGGCTCAATAGATTGTTTTGACGATCCGAACCGACTCGGGTAAGCTCGTTTGGCAAGTTGACGCCCCAATGAAAATTTGGTTACATGAATGAAATTTCATGCCAAAAATAAAGTTCGTACACAGTAAATCACCAAAAAATGAATGCGGCAAATGTAAGATATGTGGAGGTCAACACTCATTTTAGCTATTATTTGTACAATCTCTTTTTATGAAAATACAAAACAAATTCATATAATTTCATCAAGCCCTCTAATGCCAAGGTATCCTATCTTTTAGAACTGGATTGTGACAAAGATAATTGTATCATCAATGTGATATCAAATATTTGAATGATATGAATGTAAAAAATAAAATTTAAGTGTTAGGTATATAATTATATCTGAGTTAGGCTATATGTATGACGATGAACATTTATTTTATTTTCTTAGATAGGATGAGAGTTGGCTCGTTATTTGCGAATAGTTCGTTTTCGGATAGTTAAGAAGCCCGTATTCAATTCTTTCGTTAAGTTAACGAGTCGAACACGAATAATCTTTTTTCGCTCGAAATATAAACGAGCCGAACATGAATAAAGATAAAGACTTGGTCATTCGTGCACAACTAGTTTTAACTTGAAAATTAATGAGTAGTATTTATTTAAAAAATATTAATTTATTAGAAAGCTACAAAGATTCATAATCAAATAAAATTAATAATTAAAAAATAAATTAAATTTATTTAAATGATATTTTGATATAAATAAAAAAATTTAAATCCGGTTCCAACCTTTAATATTGATACGCCACAAACAAATTTTCATTATTCATAATGAATCTCGAGATATGACACGAATCTCGAGACAACCTTTTGAGCAAGGAACATTCAAACTTCAATTAAGAGTCATCCAGATTTCTGATTTCAGTGAACTTATAGTCAAACTGACTGGCTCGATGAGATGGACCCAATGACATAAGAACTAGTCCAATCTAAGTCAGATCAAGCCCATATCAAATCATTAAACCACTCGTGATTCTTGAAGGATTTTCGGAGGCATTTGGAAGGACAAACAGATGTCAAATCTAGCAAGTTAATAGTCGAATCGAGTGTCTCGACAAGACGAATACAACGAGTATAAGATTGCTCAAATTCGACATCGTTAAGGCACTCAAATGTCCATCAAACGTTAAGTGATCGAGTGAAGCTCTCCAGATCGTTCGATCAAAATTGTTCATATTCCTGCATTAATTGCACCTATAATGCTATATATAGATTTTCACCCCACATTAGGGGAGAGGTTTGAGAGAAAATTAGAGGCTTTGAGAAGGAGCTCAAATCAAACTGATCGGCTCGATGAGACAGACCCAATGTTATAAAAATTAGTCCAATTTGAGTCAGATCAACCCTAGATAAAATCATTAAACCACATCTGAAAAATTTTCGAAGGCATTTAGAAGGACAAACGAATGTCAAATCTAGCAAGTTAATACTCGAATTGAGCGTCTCGACAAGACGAATCCAATGAGTCTAATATTGCTCAATTTAAACATATTTAAGACACTCAAATGTCCATCAAATGTTAAGTGGTCGAGGGAAGCTTCTAGATTATTCGATCAAAATGGATCATATTCCTGCATTAATTACACCCAAAACACTATAAATAAATTCTCACCCCTCACATGAGGGAGAGAGAGGCTTGAGAGAGAATTTGAAGATTTGAGAAGGAGCTCAAGTCCAACATCATTTTTGTTATCGTTGATCGCCGCCGACCACCACCGGCTGTCGAAGACCATCGTCGACCTCTGTCGACTACCGTCGATTAAATCCGACCTCTGTCGACCACCGCTAATTAGACGTCGTCAGTCGATGTTATAACTTGAAAAATTAGTAACCACTTCCTGTCTGAGGGATAAAATGTCTTTGTAATCATCAACCTATAGTAGATTCTTACAACTAGGTCAAATCCCGTAGTTTTTTTCTTTTACGGATTTTTTACATAAAAACTTCTAGTATCATCACAAATTATTTCCCTTCTCATTTGAGTGTGTGTTGAATCTTCATACAAAATTAAAAAAATAATTCATTCCGATATCGCCACAAATTTTGCAGGACCGATCAAATATCTTTGCAGTTGCCGGCTAATATTGTCAAAATGATTTAAAATGATTTGAGCCGAACATGAATACATTATTTTTGTTTGAAACTTAAATAAGTTAGAACACGAAGACAGCTGGGCCTGCGCTGATTTACATCATACTGATGAGATTCATCAGTCTGTGCCGTGCACAAGTAATGCTACGTAGTCCAAGAAATTTGCACTGAAGGAAAAAAGTAACAGTTCCGAAATATTCACGATCTTATTTATATAATTTTATTGATACAGAAACATGGCAAATTTATCACTTGCCCAACTCTGCAGAACATTTTATTCCCCCCACCGGAAAAACAAAGCTTAGTACATCACTCATGGCTACTTCGTCTTCTTCATCTTCTTTCCTCAAATCGATCAAATGGAGATACTGTTAGGAATCCCCTTGGCAGTGAGCCCCTGCTCGCTATAAGGCGAAAGCAACGTGTACTCCAACTTCTTCGACCCGCCACGGTTCTTCAATTTCTTATCATCATTCAGCTCTGCTATCTTCTCCTCCACCTCCTTCAGCTTCGAACCAAACCGCTTCAGAGCCTTCAGCGCCTTCTCATTGCTGGTCCACTCCTCGCTCGCTCTCTGGCCCAAATATAACTCATCCGATGCGTGCGTCGACAGGATCTCGATCACCGATATCTCCAGAATGGCCTGCAACTGCCCCGTGATCGTCTTTAAGAACACTTTATCCGGGTTCGTTTTAAGGAGCTCGTAGTCCGCCGTGCCGGCCTCCGGCATGGCCGGGCCGGCCTACGGCGTGAACCGTCGGGTCAAGCTCGGACGGTTGGGGAGGTAGCCGCCGTAGGGATACTGACCGAAGTTCACGGCGGCGTGCATGGCGGAAGCTATCCAGATTATGGTGGAGCAGATGCGGACGAGTGAGGGTAGGGAGTCGAGCTGCGGCCACCATGGCTTGTGTTTGAGGTCGCCATGTCCGACTTCAACGGCTTCTTTCCACCAGGTTTGGAGTTCGTTGTCGTTAAGGACGCTGGAGTTGTCTGGGTAGTAGATGGAGCAGTACTCTTCAACCCAAGACTCGATGGCAGACCAGATGGCGAGACCGTCGACGGCGTAGGGGTAGTCTTTGATCAAGAGATTTAGCTTAGTCGGACTCGATGGATCCTCCACTGCTATTCCCCTGCAAAGAAACACGCTTTAATCAACTGTACAAAAAAAAAAGTTCAATTTTGAGGGGTTGTCTGCAATGTGAGTAGTTTGGTGCAATACCGCTTGATAAGATCGGCGGGGAGTGATTGCTCGGCAAAGTTCCAGTTTTTGTAGAGAACGGACGACAGCTCCATGGCGTATTTTGCAGGGAAGACGGAGAGCTCGATGATACCGCCGGCGTTGACGAGGGACTGACGAGCAAGGGCGTTTATGTTCATGGTGTCGCGGTAGTGTGGTACGAGGAGCTTGTTAAGTGGATGAAGAGCGCTGAGATGCCTGTGCGTTGAGATCACAAAAGGCTCCATGATTGCGTGGGTGCGCAGCCTGGCGAAGAAATAAAACACTTGTTAGCAAAACAGGGGAGATGTTCAGAGAGAGATTGAGAAACCGGGGAATTTCATTCATCACCAGTGGCTGATAAGCTGGTGTACTCCATAGTCATTGACGGCAACAAACCCCTTGGCTAGATGCCAGATTGCAGCCTCGATGCCGGAATCTGCTGGCGTGTAGACGGTGCTTACAGCGCCGTGCCGCTCGCCTTCAGGATGCGGGAGGCTGAGCTCGACGGCAACTGGCTTCAGAGTGTCGTCGTCTCTGAGGAAGTAGAGTGTTCGGGTGGCGTATATTTTGCTCGAGGTTGAATTGATCCGTGACAGGTAAGGCATGAGCGCGTCATGATAGTTGATGATAAAGAGCCTGTTGCTACTAAGTGCCTAAAAGAAACAGAAATTAGATCACAAACAGAGAGCCAGAACAAATTGAGAGAGGAGAAATTTACTTCTTCTGCTGTGAGGCCTTCGAGATTTTTCTCGATATGCTCTGCTGTAATGGTGCTATTCTGATCTCCATACAGTGTGGAATCCAGGTTGCTGGTTGGCGGGAATTCCTTTCAGAAGGAAGTTTATATAGTTAGCTAGCTCTGCTTCTGCGCTATGTATATATCTAAAATGAAATCCCAAAACCATAATCTAGCAGCAGAAAATCATACCTTGAGTCTTTCAATGATGACAGGGTTCACACCAGCCAACGTTTCTCTCGCAAATTCCTCATCGCTCTGCCACGTCCACTTGTCCTCTTCAAATTAGAATGTCGAAAAAGAGAGGTCAATTGCCGGCAAAAAAGAGTCATTTTTATAAAACAGAGAGGAAATAGAAAACCTACTGTGTATGATATGTGGCATGGGAAACTTGAGAAAACCGCGCTGTTCTTTGGCCGGCTTGAGCACGCTTTTAAGCATCTCAAGAGGAATAGCATCGAGTAGCGCTTGCACCTGAGGAATATCCGGAAGCTGCAAACCACCTTCATAAAGCTTAAAAATATCTTCGTAGCTGTCGAAAGTGTTCGGCGTTCCATCGAACACAGCTTGAAGAATTGGAAGCAACGTCTTAGCCACCGCCTTGATCGTGTACCCCAAGAAATCCGACATCTTGAGGTGCCCAAACCGCTCGTCGCGCGGCACATAGATGTCTTGATCCAGCGAGAACAACCTGCTCTCGCTCTTCGGATCTGCAAACTTCTCCTCCATTAAATCATGAAAAATTAACACCTCTGATCTCTGGCACACTCAGTTCTTACGCTTACCTGCTTTAGTGGGCGGTCGAACGGTCTTCCCGCGACGCGGGTAAGGGAACTCGTCTGAACCGCCAATAACCGGCCGGGCGAGAGCCGAGCTCAGATCCGGGTTGCCGAGATCGTTGTAGTACGCGTAGCCATACACTCGGTCCCATTCCTCCAGCTGCCGACTCACGTTTTCTCCTCGCAGGTGCCGGAGCTCCTCCTCCCGGTAAGGCTTCAGCGGTTCCGGCGTGTTTCTCGGCAGATACGACTACAAAGCTCAAAACTTTGGATCAGAACAGCAACAGAGGAGAGAAAACCATAACGCAAAGAAGAAAGATGAATGTTTTCATTACATCGTTAGCGAAGAAGACGCGATCGTAAGTGTATTTGGAGGTGTTGTAGACCCATGAGTTGCAGTCGAAGTGTATGCGTCCCTTGCCGGGGAAATCGTCGATAGTAATATATTTGAGGAAGAACTCCGCCAAATGGCGGTTCTTCACGATTACTGCGCCGGGGATCCCTTCTCCTTCCTTCACGTGAAACGTCACCGTAAATTTTATCTCCCCAGCGGTGATCGTCTGAAGAACAGGGAGCAACGGCGGCTCAAGATACGCCAGCTCCCCTACCAATCCTCTGTTATCGTTATCTGCGAAGGTTTCAGATTTCAACTCTAAGATCACCCACCACTCACCGCTGATTAATAAAATTAATAGCTTTTTTGACTTTGAGCTTAAATAGTATGCATTTTTTAGTAATCAAATCAATAATTTTCAACTAAGAAAGAAGTCATGGAGGGCAGACGCACTGGGATCGCCGGCGGTGGCGCTGACCAGCTGAAGGGAAACTTGCTGGCCGAGTACGTCCTGAATACCGTTGAGTAAGGTGGCACCAAAGTCGTTGAAGTCAAGAACGGTTCTCTCCACGAGGACCACATGGCCCTTCACCTTCGTTCCCTGCCCAAAAGCACCATGAATTAAGTGCCCTAACATGTTTCTGGCCCTAAAAGTTCCTACTTTTGGCCGGAGAGGGAGGAGAAGAGGGGTTTGTGGTGGTGGTTTCTGCTCTGGGGATAGGGCGTGTGGTCATTTATAGCGGAGGGAAGTATCCTCTGCTGCTTTGTTTAATGCAGGCTCGTGATAAACGTGGTTAATATAATACGTTTGGTAATGGCAGCCATAAATTGAGTACGGCATATGTCATGGTTTTAGAAGATGAATTACATTGGGTGGCCCCAACGTTTCAATTATGAGTTTGTATATTATTTATTTATTTATTTATTTTTTCACCAAAAGGGTGAAATGGAGTCACGTGCTCTGGGAATTCAGCTCAAGGTTTCTTTAAAGGAGTCACCTCTCCTTCTTGGGAAGACCTCATTCTAGATTTCAAGCCATGTGGGTTGCCGAGTGTTTTAGGGTTTTCTAGGGAGTTCCTTTATTAAAATACTCTTTCTTTTTGTCCTTTTTTTAGGGTTTTGGATGTTCTTCTATTTGATCTCTTTGATGATCATTACTTACAAAAGGAAGTTTTATTGTCTTTTATTTTTTTTTCCTAGGGTTTTTATTTTCTTTTTTCTTTTGCTTTTCTCTTGGAAAATTTTTTCTTTTGTTCAAATTCTTCTAATTTTGGTGTTTATTTGCCCTATTTTTCTTCTATGATGGATTATCCACCACTTATTTTACTTTCTCTCGGCCTATTTGCGGTCCTATTTCATCACTTAACATGAAGAGTTTAGTTTTTCACATTTTAACAGTTCCTATAATTTCAATTGGCCTTATTCCATCACTTAACTTGAAGAGTTTAGTTTCATTACATCTTAAGAGTTCGTCTAGTTTTAATTGATTTTATTATATTTATTCTCAAGATAAAATTTCCTTCTCCGAACTTGAAATTCCAGAAGGAACGAAACAATGAAATTTAGCGTTGGTTGAATACGTGCTAGGGAAAAGAAATTTCTATGGTAATTTACAACAAGCAATTAATAGAATGTAAAAATTAGAAGGTCGATCAAACTTGTATCTATCATCAAAGGATCTTTTCTGTTTAAATTTAAGTATGAAGAAGATATGTAAATACTTTTGTGACCCTTGGATCATTTATGGAAAACCATTTATTTTTAAGAGATGGTCCCGAGCTTTTTGGCCGGTTAAAGAAGATTTTAAAGTTGTTTCCATCTAAAACAAAATTCCCTAACCTACCTTTGTGCTTTTGGAATGAAGTTAGTATTTTTATGATCGCTAGGAAAATTAAATTTCCATTACCTGTTCCTTCCTTAATTGCTAATGATGCATGTTTTTTTGGTTAAGAGTTAATATTTAAATTGATGCCAACTCTCATCTTCTTGATTCTATTTCTCTAGATATAAATGAGCAAGAGTTGGTTTTAAAAGTGATATATGAGTGTAAACCTACTCCCTGCAAAACATGTTCCACATGTGCTCATGATCTTATGCTTGCCCCATGTCAAACAATGGTCAATATGATCCTATTTTACAAGTTCCTTGGGGGGTATAAATAATAATTGAAATAATCAAACATTTAATAGAAGTAGGAGTAGACGTGTTCTTCTTATTTTTGTTATTGTTCCTGTCACTATGTCTGCTGTTAATAATACTAAAAATGATTTAATGTCTAATCTTAACATTGTTGTTCCTGCTGCTGAGAAATCTTTTAGTAATACTGATAAGAATGCGGATGTTGGAGAAACCCGTACTGCTGTTGTGATTTTTAATGATAATATCATAAATTCTGTTACTGCTTAAGATAATATGACATCTGATGATATCACTAATGTTAAACCGCTAATAAGAGCACAATATTATTAATGAATCAGATACAATTATTTTAGAAGATGGTTCTTGTTTGGATAATGGTGTTGCTTCAGTTATTATTGTACAAAAAATTATTATACTAATTTACTTTACATTCATAGAGAATTTTCAATAATGGTCTTAAATTTTCTTATATTCTCATTTTTCAGAGGAATTAACACTAGACTTATTTGTGGTCTTTGTCTTAATGATCTGAAACTCGTAATAGAGATATTTTTTGAATATTCTTTCTCTCATAATTTGTTAAAAATATGTTTTCTTAATGGAAATTTCTTCCTTGTTGCTATTAATTTTCATCAAATTTTTAATTACTCTGTTAGTATTAATTGTAAAATTTATAGAAAATTTAATTTGCTAGCTCTACAAGCTTTTGGTTATAGATCTTGTTTGAGAGAAATAGTTAAATTTTTAATAAATCTAATACTCTTATTGAGTTTATTGCTGAAAATATTCGATGGCTTATCAATATGAACTTCAAAGAGGGGATTTTTAAAATCTGATCTTTGTCCGTGATGGTTATCACTGCTTCATTATTTTCTTACTCAAGCATGTTGCATTTTTTATGTCAAATATCATGTTAATGCACAAACGTTCTTGTCATGCTCCAATGTGTTTTTAAAGTCGGGGTATTAAAAATTGGGTGGATTTTATGGCATGAGACCAATCTAAAAATTGGTCAAGTAGATTGCTCTTTGTAAATAATGAGTGGGGCCTCCCAGGGGAAGATTGAAAGAGCTACCATACCCTATATTTGTTGGGGAGGAAAATATGTTAAGAGTTCTTAGTGTTCTTGACTTGAGAGCTCTTCGACACTGTATTGGCAGTGTGTGATGGATGATAGATATTTTAAAGCTAGTCTCTCTATCTATGCGGGGAGATATCATGTCATCCCATTTAAGAGGTTTGACAAAGGTCACGAGGGGAGCCCCCTTGCAGATAAAATTTCATTCAAGCGTCTTGCTAAACACTACAAAAATGATAAGGCTCCACATCCCAAGAAAAAAGGAAATGAATGTTGTAGAAGTTATATAAAACAATGATGCAGATCAAACGAAAAATATGAATCCTCAAATGACTCCTATTGGTGTTAATGTCCCAAACGGTGATAGAAATATCTGCGCTTGAAAATTAAATATCCCTAAAAAGATGTTGAAGAATATATGTACAAATCGTGAGCAAACGGATGAGCCGATGGCAGGGCAGTGGCGACAGTGGTCTTACGGCGGCAATGTCAGCGACTAGATGGTGGTGGTCTAAAAGTATTGGAGCTCAAGGATTCTCAGGAGCTTGGATCTCATTTAGTTTTATCTTTCAAGTCTAAGTCCCAAGTTGCCTTTCATGAAAGGTTCAGAGTGACGTCCTCTGTAAGTACTACATGAATCCAGACTACTCAATTGGATGACCCAGACCATCCCCTTTGATCGGATGCTGTTTTATGAGCATTTAAGTGCCTTAATAATCTCAAAATCGAGTAATTTAGGCTCGTTGGATTCAACTATATGAGACGCTCGATTTGACTATAAAATTGTCAGATTTTGAATTCATTTGTCCATTCAATTGCCTATCCAAAGCCTCCAATTGCTCATATACAACTTGATTTGGGCTTGATCGGATCAAACAAATTTTAGCTTGAAACTTGTATGAGTCCGAGCTTCGATGATCACAAATTCTTATTTGAAACTGTTCCTTGCTCAAAATGTTTTGAGATTCTTTCATGATCAATATGATTCTTCTAGCGACAATAACTATTGCTTTGAACCATCTCCTTGTATAGAATTTAGCTCAAGCGTGGAATGACTTTGAAATTATCTTAATCTCATTCTAAATTCGAGTCTTTGTTATATAATCAAGTTTTGTGGCCATTAGAAAGCTTTTATTTACAAATTGTACAAATTCAAAATGCAGCAAATTACAAACTAGTCTTCATGCATTTGCTCTGACGATCTTTGCATCACTTATTTGTGATATTTATACCGTAGAAATGTAAATTAGTGATTGTATTTTAACCGCTTGCGCGGAACATATTTGCAATCACAACCTTGATGTTTTTGAAATGCGATCCAATGTCCCCCCTTTTTTTTAGTACATGCATTTAAAATATAACATTATTATGGCGTGTGGAGGAAATGAGCCTCTTGCCATGCTACTTATTAAACGAGCGTGTGGCTAACAATTTATTGTTTCTACATTAATAAATTACGACTGGGATTTTCCTTCAATTTTTTTTTTATCAAAACCATCGAATATATATATAATGTATAAAGTTTTAGTCCAATCATGTGGAAAAATCATGAGCGCTTGAAACTTATTTAATTATTATATATTGCACTAAATTTGTAGAGTCATTCATAAAGTTAGTAATTTTATATTTAAAAGTTACTCATAATTTATGTGAGGCCTGTTTTGAACATGTTGGAGTTGATCTAAAGTCTATTGTATTGATTCAGATCAGATTTGATGTGGGTCATAAGATTAGCTGTGATAGAGTGATTATTTAGTGTTTTAGCGTGGATGAACTTCTAACACAAGCGCATGTAATTAAAATGACAGGTAGCAGTAGAAGACACTTTGATTTTTATGTGGATAAACTTAAAAAGAGAAAGAAATCACACGTTTTAGTCTGATTGAAATAATCCGCTATATAATGGTGAGACACAACCCCACTATTCTAATGAGTTAGGGAGGATGGAATTACAAAGTTTATGTATAATGGCATTCCAACAATAATGATTGTAAAGAACTGTGAAGACCATATTTGATTTCTATAGAGGTAGTAGTCTGTTGTCAATGTTGTAGATGGTGATTGCGACATTAACTTTTTGTATGGGCTATCATTAAAAGTCATGTAGTAGTTGGCTATGTGGGTTGTAGACAATTAATTCAAGAGTGTCAGTTGACCCCAGATGTTGTAATAAAGACTTGTACGAGTTGTGAGCCAGTAAGTCATAGTTGGTCATATATGTTGTAATAGTGAGTTGCGATAATGTCTGTAGACCATGACAACGGGAGTTGGAGCTACATGAGTTGTGGACCGCATAGACCGCAAAGACAAAACTTAGGACCTGCATGAATTGTGATAACTTCTTTAGGCCACGAAGGTTGAAGTTGGGAGCTCTATGAGTTTAATGCCCGCAAGCCACAGAGGTAGGAGTTGGAAGCTTTACGGGATGCGATAACATTCGTAAGCCACACAGGTTGAGTTGCAGATGGTACAATAACAACTGTAAGCCAAGAAACTATAGTTTGA